AAAAAAAAAAAAAAAAAAATCCTGAGTAGATTTACAGGACCTGCCAAGCACATACAACCCAAGGCATAAATCATGAGAAGATTTAAGGACTATTGGAGCAAAACTGATAGGTCTGAATTTGAGCCTGCTGCTTGGTCTGAATATAAGCATGCCAACTGGCCTAAATTGGTATAATTCATGCCTTCGGATTTGAGCCTAATGATTGGTCCAAATTCAATTCTGTTTAGTTCAAATTCAAGCCTGGTACAGTCAGGGAAGACATCTCCCAGAGCAGGAGCAGAGTGTCCAGGATAGTCACAGCCATCTTGGAGGCAGTGTAGCATAACATCAGGAGATGCAGCCATTTGATTTTTGTGAGATTGGTGGGGCTAAAATCAGGGAATCCTTAAGAGGGCTATCTATGTTAATCACAGCTTACTGGGGTTTGAAGATGTTAGGGATGTTTATAATGGATTTCTCCCTGATCATTAGGGACATTAGGGATAGTTTCCCTGCTGCTTCTTCAGAGGCAACAGCAGCATCTGGAATGGCAGGAGTAGAAGGGGCACTGCAGCTGATAGTCAAGCAGCATCTCCTGTCAAGGCAGCCTGGAGAGTAGCTGAAAAATTACTTTAGGGGTAATAGGAGGACACTGAAGCAAGTTGTCCCAGTCTGTTCTCAAGGAACCATGGGGGAGTGAAGTGGGGTGGAGAGGTATGACAGCTGTCAGCCAAACCATTCTCCCCTCTGACTGGAAAAAGGGGAGTCAGACACTTCTGTCTCATCAGTTTCTTATAAAGATAAACATATACTCACTAGAAATTAATTCCTAGGTATATACAAGAGAAACGAAAACATACCTACACAGAGACTTATGCATAAATATACAGAACAGCTTAATTCATAACAGCCCAAATCTAGAAACAACCCAAATGTTCATCCACTGGTGAATGGCTAAATGTACTAGCAAATACCCATTCAATGCATTACTAGTCTGCATTAAGAGGGAACAAATCATTTTTATATGCAACAAAATGAATGAATCTTGAATGCATTATGTTCAATGAAAGAAGTCAGACACAAAAAGGTACAAGTTGTTTAATTCCATTTATATAAAGTTTTAGAACAGGTAAAATTATCCTGCAGTGATAAAAATGAGATCAATGATTGCCTGAGGTAAAAGGCTGGTGTGGGACTGACTACAAAAGGCCATAAAAGAACTTTCAGGGATGATAACATTTTTCCATATTTTGAGTAGAGTTACAGTATCAAGGCATAAACTGTCAAAACTCACTGAAATGTATATTCAAAATGTGTGCATTTTATTGTTTACAAATTATGCCTCAGTTAAACTGATTTTAAGATCAAGAATAAGGGGAAATAGGGCCAGGGATTTAGCTCAGTGGTGCTGCACCTGCCTCACAAGCACAGGGTGCTGAGTTCAATCCACAGTACAAAAAAAAAAAAAAAAAAGAATAAGGGGAAATAAAAAATTTTATACTAACATAAACTGAGAGACTTTTGCCTTTAAAAGATCCTCCTTGGGGTAATTTCTAAATTATATAAAAAGAAAATGATTCAAAATGGAAAGTCTGAACCATAAGAAGAACAAAGAAAGCAAAAATACGGGTAAAACCGAATAAAGACTAACTTTCAAAAATTATAACAATATTGTGTGAAATTTTTAAAAAATAAGATTTATGATAATGGGACATAATACAGAAAGGGGTCATTGAAATTAAATTATTCTAAGATTATTTTGTTTAAGAGGAGGTTTAAATAGCTTACTTTGGATTTTATTATGCTAAGTATGCATAATAAAATTTCTAGGATAATTACTAAAAGATAGAAATAGACCATATAACTTTAAAAGCTAGTATTGAAAAAGAAATTAGAAAAAACAACCAATCTATTATAGATGGGGTGAGAAAGGAGAGAATAAAGAAACATGAGAACAGTGGAACAAATAGAAGGCACAAAACAAAATGGGCAAACATAATAAATGAAATAGAAATAGTGTTCTTGACAAATAAGCATGGATTGCTGGCTCCTTCTCTCAAAATATGTCTGGAAAAGCTATAGAAACAGGAGAGAAACATAGATTCCAGAAACCTAACAAAATGACAGAAGCACGCAAAATTCCAGCAAGACTTAAGGCTAAAGTAAGCTAGTACAATATGTGTTATGGAGCTAGATGGCTGAAGTCAACATAGGAAGTGCAGCTGGAGGCAGCAATAAGTGCATAGGGTTAAAAAAATCTTACTTTAAGCCTTATTATTCTCTCATTCCTTCTTATCATGGAGCAATCATTTCTTGCCCCTTCACCCTAGACATTAGGGGCTGTCCACAAGATAAATATTGGCACAAAAACAGTTAAAAAAACAGTTGCAGACTGACTTTCAACTTTTCCACTCCAAACTACAGTATACAAAGATAGCCTCTTTCCAATGTTGCTAAACCTAGGCATATCAGTTTCTGGTTGTTTATTTCTCAAAAAACATGAAGTAATATGTTTGCGTGTATCCCTTACTGTTTCTAGAATCTCGAACATTGCTATTAGAGCAGTTTCTGAAAAAAATAAAAGAATTTTAGAAAATTTCCATCTTTCAATGATGTAGAAAAGTAGAATATTGAATGTGGATGCAACAGTATATAATTTAGCTTATGTACTTTCTGTTCCTCACAACTAACCATGGATAAATAAGCTAAGGATCTTTTAAAATACTATATTATATGAAAATTGCTGTTAATTTTTAAAGATCAGTGGACCAAAGGTAAAAGACCAAATGCTCTCTTACCTTAAGAGATGAGCTAATAATAACAGTAGTTGTCCATTTCACTTTTTCTTTTTCACCACTTTCAGCCATCTGTACATCTTTGGGTCAGCCCAGTTTCTAATGATGCCACAATCTGAGAAAATTAAGAGTAAAAAAGAACATAAGAAAATGTCTATTGGATGACTAAGTAAATGGAAGACAAAAATAAAACTTATGGTAATACAGGTACCAACATTTTAAAGAATGTTTGAATATTGCCATTTGACAATAGAAAAAGTGTCTTATACATTTAGCTTATTCAATACTATGCTTTCTTTTAAAACCAGAAACCATCATTCCCATTCAGATTGCTAATTTAAAGAAAGAGTCTGTCAGGTAAAAGGACCGAAAACCAAGACCAGACCAGGCCACAACAACCCTTTATTAGGGGAATAGATCTGCCGGGTTGTCTCTGAACAAAGGAGAGACAAAAGCAATAAGGCCGGGGCAGGGAGAGTCTTTTATGGAGACTGGGGTGGGGTTTGTAGGGGCTGAGGCAGGGTTGAGTGAGGTAGTGACTAGGGAATGGAGGAACCGGTGAAGTCACTAGGTGGTAGGAGGTGAGTGAGTATTGGGCTACTTTCTAGGCAAGAACAGGGGCATGCTGGGAAGAAGGTTTATTCTTTGGTGGGAGCAACCATCTTGGCATGATGTCACACAGGGGAGGGGGCAAGGCACAATAGGAAGAGGGCAGCTATTATACATAATAGCTGCTGAGGTAGTGGGAGACCTATCAAGAGTCCTTATGTCAAGAACTTTGAAAGTTTTGAGGTTTTATCTTACTTGAAAGCTAAAAAGTTGGCCTTGCAGGGTTTCATGGATACAGAAAAAAAGGTTGTAGTCATCAAAGGGTTAAATTCTAAATATGTTACTATAATATGTGTACATTGGTCATCTTCAAAGGGTTTAAGAGCCAACAGGTTACAATATGACCTCCTTTATAGTGAGTTAGAAAAAAGACTGTTGGAAAAAGACACAAATATGTCAGACCAAGGTGCGGTATTTGAGATTTGACTTTAAAAAGACAAAGGAGGCTAGGTCCAGAGAAAAGGAAAGTCATTTATTCTTTGCCAAGACCCCTCCAAAATGCTTCAATTATTTGATTCCATTTTTGCTACCCATTATCCTAATTGGGAGGACTGTAAAGAACTTTGTAAAACTCTGTAAACCTCTAAAAATGCACAGTTTTAGGAGAAATTTAAAAAATTAATGCCACTAGAATGCCAGGTGATATACAGAATCCAGACCCTTGGCATGAACAGCAATTCCCAGTAAATGTGAGGCCTGACTGGGATCCCAATACCCAAGCAGGACAGGAAAACTTGAGAAATTATCAGAAAGCCCTTTTAGCAGGAATGTGGGCTGCAAGTAAAAGGCCTACAAATATGACTAAAGTGCTAGAAACAGAGCAGGAGCCTGATGAGAGCCCTGAGAGATTTTATGAGTAGCTCTGCAAAGTTTACAGAATGTATACAACTTTTGATCCTACTGTTCCTGAAAACTGTCAGCTAATTAATACAACTTTTGTAACCCAGTCAGCACCAGACATTAGAAGGAAAATCCAAAGGCAGGAGACTTGGGAAGGCATGAATATAATGCAATTGTTGCAATTAGTTGGGAAAGTGTATGTGCACAGAGAGGCAGTGAAAGAGAAAAAGAGCCAGGAAGGAAGATAGCAGTAGCTATGGGAGCCAAGGAAGAGAAAGAAAAAGAAAGACAAGGCTCAAGAAAAAGAAAAAGCAGGACTTGAAGGAAAGGAAGGATACTGACACATTGTTGCCTGTGATGGAGGACAGTGACTGACACAGACCGGACTCAATGCAGCTAGGCCCCCATGAGCCCAAGGTTGATATATAGATAGGGCGCCAAAATATGTCCTTAATGGAGAGTGGCACAGAACATTCAGTAGTAACAGCTCCAGTTGCCCCTCTGAGCAGAGAGCACATCCAAGTGATTAGTGCCACTGGAATTTCAGAAAAGCGCCAGTTTTGCTATGAAAGGACATGTGAAATTGGAGGACATAAAGTGAAACATGAATTCTTGTATATGCCAGAATGTCCTAGCCCCTTACTAGGAAGAGACTTATTATCTAAATTGGGAGCTACAATAACTTTCACCCAATGAGGAAATGCATCTCTGCATTTAGACCCAGGAAGAGATCTCATCATAATGGTAACAGCTAAAAGAGAGGGTGAATAGCACTGTTACAATGTGGATGATGTTTTCCAGGCTCCACAAGAATTAAGAACTGTGGTAGGGAGAAGGAGAGGGAGAAGCTTCTGGCTTAGCAGCACTTCTTACTCCCAGATGTGCAGGGCCTTCCCACAGTTTCATGTTTCTACTTTGTCAGTTCTCTCAACACTAGCAGAAACAGCTTCATCACCACCTCCACAAGGAACAGTGCCTCTTGAGTTTCAGCTCCCTGGGTTTCTCCTCTATACAGTGTAATTTGTAGAGGACGCCGAATCACCTCGCTGCAGACAGGCAGGTCTGCCCACGCCCTACCAAGGTCCCGAGTGGCATGGACCATGCTGAATCACGCCGCTGCAAACAAGCAGCCACCTGGTTCCACACTACAAAGACGCAGAGGACACCAGACCACCAGACCAAGGTACTGAGTCCCACTGCTCCTGGCCCAGAGGTAG